AAAAAAAAAAAAAAAAAAAAAAAAGAATAAGTCTCCGTGTATTTATTTGGGAGCTAGGTGGCAAGCCCCTAAAGAGTGAAGAGTAAAAAGCCAACTGCAGAGTAAAAAGCCAACTGCAATTGTGATGCTGCAGTGTGGGTTCAAGTAATCCTTGATGGCCAAGTCTAAGAGCTGTGACGCAGGCAGCTCAGACATGCCAAATGGAAGCTGTAAATGCCTTCATGTGAAAAGGCACAAGTTCTGAAGAGGAAAAGAAAATCATAAACTCAGGTTGCTAAGATCTACGGTAGGAGTGACTCTTCTATGCCTTAAATTATGAAGAAAGGGGGGATTCGTGTTGGTTTCACTGCCACCGGTTGGACTCTAAAGACTTATGGTCACAGTGAATATATGTTCAGCTAAGATGGAAACAGGGCTGTAAAGGGACAGGCAAAATACAGGGTTATGCTCTGGGTTTAAGGCATATACTGGTGCGGTGGGCTCTACTTAGGAGAACCTCTTGCAAAACGGGGTATGGTGTCTTTTCAGCTCCAATGCACTAGGCAGAATATGGAAGTGTGAGGCTCTGCCTGGGGAGAAGTGGGAATCACTTGCCTCCTTCTTCCTGCTGTTCCTACACTATTGGTGTGAGGCCCACACACATTTCTTCTGGAACTCTCAGGAATGTCTAACTGCACCACTGTTATAGACTAAGGGCCAGGCGACCCTGGTAAGCACCTGAGTTACGGACTGAGTTTAGTGTGACCCCACCCTCACCCCCCAAGCTGGGATCTGTCATCCTTATAAAGCGGACCAGTATATTTCCCTGAGTTGGGGGTGTGAGTAGAGGAAGTGATGGGGTACAGTGGGGCATAAGCCAGACAGGGAACAGGAAGCAAGCAAAACTTTTAGAGACCATGTTCTGCCAAGACTCTATCCCCATGAATCTGAGGCCAGCCTGGCCAGCCCGAGAAGCTCCACAGCAGCAGCTACAACAGAGTCTGCCTGCAGACTCCTATGTCTCCCTCTGTCCCAGCCACAGAAACAGCTCTCTTCTCCCCAGGGAGCCCTGAGTTATTCAGTACAAAGGAGGAAGGGCTAGGGTCTCCAGGAAAAGATGCCCAACACTTACCCATCCCCACACTGGCTACCACAGCAGGTAAGCAGGTCCTCAGCAGACACCTCCACATTGACATGGCCATTGGTGTGGATGCAGAGTCGGTCAGACATGGCTCCCACAGCCCCAAATGCCTGGAAAAATAGCAAGTCCCACGTGGTGAGGAACCCACCGTACCTGAAGCAGGGAGGCCATTGGACCTTCTGAGTGGTTAGACCCATTCAATGTCAGGTGAGGCTTCTGGACTCATACTTAACATTAAATGTAAAGAGACCAATCCAAGCCTCTGCCTGGGGACTTGGCTCACAAGGAGCAAATTCCAAGGCAGAGAGCAGAAGAGAGCCACCACGGGCACAGGAGGGCCACAGGGAGTCAGTATGACTGAATTGGTTCATTTGGAAGAGACGAAAGGACTGTGTGGATGGGCAGTAGAGACAGCCACCCAATACTAGGGACATTTTAAATGCCACTGGACTATACACTAGTTAAGAGAGATGAATTTTCTGTCATTTGTATTTTGCTACAATTCAAAAACCACAGAATGGCTCAGTGACACACAGGGAGCACTCATGAAGCTGTGTTGCGTCAGGGCTGCCGTGTTTACTGGGGGAACATGACTCCACAGCTAGTACATGGACCCGGATCTCAGGCCCCTCTGTATGTCTATCATCAGTGTCCACCATCCACTCATCCTTGCAGTAATTCCCAACTACAAGGATCAGAAACTGTAGTGATGGAAAGAAACTGACTTCAAACATTTCCTCACCTACCTTGTCCCATCTGGTCCCTCCCTAGACACTCCAATCACATCCCAGCCAGACTTCTTCAGGAAGCCCTCCCCACCAGCAGGGTCTTACCCAACAAGAGCCGCAGGACCCCTGGTCTCTAATCTGTTTGATAGTTGGGCAGTTGGACCACTGTTCCCGGGCATCAAAGTTTTCAGGTAGCTCCATGTCCTCAGCGAACGCAACCCTGGGTAAAAGAAGGACTCTGTTACAAGTACAACTCACTCCCCACTCCTAAAAGGCTCGGTAAAGAGTGGCTGGCCTTGGATGGGTTGTACTCGCCAGAGAGGTGGCAAGGCATAGGCAGGAGGTGTCCTTTACCAGTTTACACTGTTCTGTGAGACTCAGCACTGTGTACACTCCCTCCTACGCTTATTTAATAGGTATTTTTCCTTTTAGATAGGATCTGACTATGTAGCCCAGGCTAGTCTGGAACTCTTCATCCTCCTACCTTGACCAAATCCTTAGTGAATGTTGGAATTACAAGCATAACCCATCAAATCTCATTCAAACTGCTTCAACAACAATAATCCATCAGGTTTGTTTTTAGGTTGGGGTAGTGGATATGCAGGGAAAAGCATCTGTGCATCAGTCTTTTCTTTTAGATTTATTTATTTAGTGTATGAGTGGTTTGCCTGCATATATGTCTGTGCATTCCATGTGTGTCTGGTACCCCCAGAGATAAGAAGGCCTCAGATCAGCTAAAACTGGAGTTATGGACATGTTTGAGCCACCATATGGGTGTGGGGACTGAACCCAGGTCCTCTGCAAGAGCAACAAGTGCTCTTAACCGCTGAGCCATCTCTCCAGCCCTGGGATTCCTTTCTTTATTTTCCTTGAAGAGACATTTAGCAATGCACTAGGGTAGATGTGCCTACTCTAGGTGTTACAGCTGCCTACAGAAAACACTCCAATTCTCTCACTAGGTCTGCAGAGGTGCCCTACAGCTGTGCAGCTGTCAAGCATGTGTAAGTCCTCAGTTTGATGCCCAGGACTGGTGTCAAGACTGGATGTAGAGGTACATGTCTGGCAGGAAGATCATGAGTTCAAGGCCACAGCAAGACCCCTCGGGGCACGGTGTACCATCTGAGGTTCACACTTGTTTGGCTGTCATAAAAAAAGAGACCCTGTATGTATCCTGCCCTGTTTCTAAACCAATAGGTCTAATCTTTTACCTCCTTTCTGATGTGGAATTTTAAAAATATTAAACTGTGCCTTGCCTACAACCTGGCTTGAGTTAGACAACATCATCCCCATCGTATACCAACATCTGATCCTTGGATGGACATTCCTAATCCTTGCTAAGAACATTTCTGCATGAGTATGTCCACTGCAGTTTTACAGAAAAATAAAACATTGATGGAAGCTCCTATGGACTTTCCCTGAATTACGCAGAGTTGTGTGTAGCCAGAACTCAACTTCCAAGCCTGGGACCTCACCTGAAGATGAGACACCCTGGAGACAAAGCAGTAAGTCCAACATTTGAGGCCGTCTCTGCAGCCCAGAAGAGCGTACCTAGGGAATCCAGAGATGGCTTTCTCTACCTCTAACAACACCCTAACACTAGCACTACTGCTCACAAGCCAATATGCAGGGGCAGTGTCTACTCTGAGGTGTGTCACTCACCTTTCAGGCAGCTTGGGTCCACCCATGATGGTACCACACAGCCTCTTCAGATAGCTTATGTCAACATTGTGGAAGTTGCGTCCAGCCTGAAAGAGTCACACCAGGATAGTCACTCACTGACCAAAGGGTTTCCCAGGCTGAGGATGGGTAGGCCAAGGGTCCTGCCCAATTCTGGGAGCTAGGAAAACAGGCAGAGTGATTCAGGCTCAGAGCATAGCTCTCAGACTATTGTGACTTCTCTAATCTGCTGCCCGTTGTTAGCAGGAGACCTGGCCAGACCTGGAGGAAATGATGGCAAGAAGTACTAAGGCACCACCTGGCTCTCCATGGTAGTTTTCCTAGGGCCTACCTGGTTTTGGAGCTCACTTATCCTCCCACACACCTCCATGTAAAAGTGTACTCCCATGCATACAATGTGGAGATCAGGGAGGAAACTGGTGTGGTCCATAAGCTTCAACATCCAGAAAAGAATGCCCTATGACCAGTTAGTCACCCCAGAAGCAGTGTGCACAAGGTGACCCAAAGCAGGGACCCACAAAGACTGACAGGAAATAGCATCACTACCCACCTGCCATGTCGTATTCCGTTTGTTGATATAGTTAATCAGGTCATCCGACAGTGGGTGGAAGGAAGGCTTGTTGTGGGCACTTGCCAGTGCCAGCAGGCAAGAGAGCGGAATCAAGGACCACCACATTCTGGAAGCTGGATCCTGCACCCACCTAAAAAGAACACAGGTGGCATCAAAACAATTTCCACACAAGGACACAGCTCAGGCCTCCTGTGCCTTTATAGCCCCAATGTGAAGCCTGGCTTGATGGGACCCTGTAACACAACACATGGTAGTATGTGTGCCTTCCTCCTGGTTCTTTTAAAACTGTATGTACCCAATGAACTGTTCTAGGACAGTTAGCCTGAGACTGGGTGTGGTGTAAACCTGCACTGGGGAAGTCAGGGGTGTGAGAGCTCAGCCTGGGCCGTGTAGCTACACTCTTCCCTCAAAAACAAAAGCAAACGAACAAACAAACAAACAAACAAACCAGTCAATCTGTGTGAGTATGTCCTAAGGAGAGCCAATGGGTATGGAAACTAAATGTTCATAAGCATCACTTAAAAACACTTCAAATTATTTTATTTGTATATATGTGCGACCGACCATATGCAGGTCTGAGGACAACTTCTGGGAACTAGTTCTTTCCATCCACTTCAGGCCTGACTCATCTTCCCAGTTCTGTGAGCTCCACTCCTGGTACATTTCAAGCCAACAGAAGCTGTGTGTGTTAGCTGCTGAGAACAAAGGAACCACATGGAATATGCCAGAGCACTAGGCCCCCAGGGGCCCCTCCAACCACGGGCTTTGCTTCCGGATCATGGGAAGGAAAATGATTGCATCAATACCTTGGCCTTTGAACCTTGAGAACTGGCTCCAGTCAGGAGGCTGGTCATTTCCAGCTCAACCCATGAGTCACCCTCTTGAGCAAGCAGCTAATAAAGATCAGGTCTTTCCTTGGGTGCTGACAACTGGGGCTGGGCCCAGTGGGAACAACAGTAGGTGTGGGTAGGGCTGGAACCCTGTCTTGACTGTAGGACTTAGAGAAGCAAGTGCACTACATCAGAGTCAAACACAGACATATGCACTTAGAGAACTTTTTGGTGGAGTGGGAAGTTAAGACACGATCTCATTTAGCCCAGGCTGCCTCAAACTCCTCCGTCTCTGCTTCCTGAGTGCTGGATCATAGGCATAAAAGCAGACTGAAGAACTAAAAACCCTCATTGGAGTTCAAGCAACACAGAGTTGTGTCCTGGATGAGTTAGAATGACGGTAAGTCTGGTGTGTGTGTGCTGGGCACGATGGAGGGGGTTTGAGCAATTCAACCATAAGAACAATCTGTATGGACTATTCTGGAAAAGCTCCCATGGAGGCCTTCTGGAACATCATGATGTATTATAAAATGCCTGGTGATACTGGCTCAGAAAAGTTCCATTAAAAAAAAAAAAGTCAGATCACTCAAAACTCATCTTGGGTATGGGAAAAGAGTGTGTGGGGGCCAGGGAAAGAGGAAGTGACACACTCCTGCAGATGTGCTTGCACAGCTGGGTGACCATCTTGGGAAAACAAGGAGGGCCAACTCTGCACACCTGGCTCCCCCACGCAGAAGTGCTACACAGAAAGGAGACCTCAAAACCATGCAAGTCTGAGCAGGTTGTGAGGCATGCTTGTAACCCTAGGGCTCAGGAGGCAGAAACATGAGGAGCAAGGGTTCAAGGCTAGCCTGGGCTACACTATGATACACAAAACAAAACAAGTGAGAAGCCCCAAACAAAACTAACTCCCTGGAAAGCCTAAAACTGGCATAAAAACAAAACCTGTTAGGTGTCACATTAAAAGTCTTATGCTGGTGGAATGGCTCTGCAAGTAAGAGGTGCTTGCTGCCAAGCCGTGACCTGAGTTTGATCCCTGCTTGATGAAGGAGAGAACAGACTCTTACAAGTTTTCCTCTGAACTCCACACATGCACACACACAATAAACAAACAAGTCTTCATAATAAAAACAACAACCAAGACATGTGGAAAAAAACAGTGCTCCTATCAAAGGCTTTGTGTCCTCAATAAAACAAGACTTGACTGTCAGAGGACTTCAGGCTGACATGCACCTGGGTAAACATGGGCTTAGCTACATAGGGGCTCCCTATCACAGGCATTTCTGCACCAGTTCTATGGTGTGCTCCAAGGCAAGGGCCCTGGACAGAAGTCAAATCTGTAGGCTGCCTGGTCTTAAGTTGTTGGTCATCCAGATAGTGAGCTATATAAACCCCCTCTCTTTACAGTGCCCAACTCTGAGTATCTCATTATAATAGTGAAAAGTGGACTGCCACACATAAATATGTACAACTTATCCACCACTTACTGCCCCCATTTCCAGTGACTCATGGGAAGTCTGTCTCATATGACCATGTGTCAGCCGTCACATGGTCTTCAAATCACCCTCTGACTTGTACTTGGCATCTCAACTTCTTTGTAAGTTTCTGTGTGCATTCGTGTTTAAGTGTATACAAGTACAATGTATGTCCATGCCTCTGGAGACCAGGACAACCACAGGTGCTGTTGCTCAGGTGTCATCAGCTTATTTCCAAACAGGGTCTCTCAATGCCTGGACCTTACCACATGGGCGGGGCTGGCTGCCTATGAGTTATCTCTACCTTCCCAGTACAGGGACTGCAAGTGTGTACCAACATGCCTGGCTTCTTTAAATGGGTTCTGGGGATTACTCAGGTCCTGGGGAGTCAAATTCAGTTCCTTGTGCAAACCCTTTACCAACTTAGTCATCTCCAAAGCCCTGCATCCAGTTTGTTCCAGACTCACTCTCATCCTTTCTTCCAAGACAGGAGCCCTTGATACAGAAACACTGGCATGTCCACTTCCTATGGTAGGACTCTGGACTAAGGAAAAGGCTGGTAAATATGTTAGGACCTCCTGCGTTGGAGGACTGACACCCTTGGGTTCTCACCATACTATATGTGGAGACTAAGGAGTGTCCTGAGATACCCTCTAGGGACTTGGCATCTGTTGAGCTGTTAAATATATGCTGAGTAGAGATGCAGGCGCATTTCCATGGTAACTTGAAATTTTAAACAAGATGGCTTTGGTTTCTGTGGTGACAGGTACTCTCATGTCCCCAAGGGGTCCCATGTCCCTTGGCCTACAGCCTCCGTCCACTGCAGCTGCAGGATACTTTCTGGGAAACTCCATTGGTTTTGCAGCCCGTCCCTGACCATCAGACCTTATTCTCCCCACCGTCAGGTTTGCCCTGTTGCTAGCCTAGGTATTGGGGCTTCAGAGGTTCAGCTGTACCCACACAATATCTAACCCCACTCATACCAAGATGAACCCCAGGAAAAAGACTTTACTCTCAAATCTCTAGATTCTCCACTCCTCACTTGGCCACCGTGGCCAAGTGTCACCCTTAGACACTGCTGTTCCTTGAGCCTCAGATTCTGGGCCTCTGAGGTGGTAATGAGCGCCATGTTTCCAGGTGATGTGAGGAGCAGGAGGTTAGGGAGATCCTGCATCAGTGCACAAGCTCCACCTGCTCCCTGACACTCTCCCGTTCAGCCTGTGCTGGCTAGTTCCAGTTTGTTCCAGACTCACTCTCTAAGCCTCCACTTGGCAGGAGTCTGAACTAAACCAAGCTTCCACCCTCAGGAAAATCCACAAGCTCTATCAAAAAGAATTCCACACTGAGGGTCCCGAGACTGTCGCCTGAAGTATATGAAGCCTTCTGCCCCCACCCAGTGCACTGATTCTCTGAGATGTCAGCCTTCCCAGATATCACACACATAGGTACTTTGGTGACACAGCCAATAGTGACAATGATAAGCTAAACTGTCCATAAACCTGTCACTGGTTCCATGTCTTTGCCTGAAATAGCCCCTGGGTTTCACTTCCCTTACTTTTTTAGCAAGCACTTCCCTTTATTTCCCAATTCTGTGACGTTTATTTTTAGTTAACAGAAAGTCTTTATTTCACAAAAGAAGGAGGCTGGAACAGATAAGTACATTCACTACTAACCAGACTCCTCTTCCAGGTGTACAGGCTGAGCGCAGTTGTGGGCAGAATTTATTTCTAGCTCAGGTCGGCTGGTCCTGGGTTCCACCCTTCTCTTTTCAAACCTTACAGCAATCAATGTCTCAATGTCCTACTGTTGCTGTGTTTCTACACGAAACTGTCACATGCACAGAATGGCTGGGGGACTGATGATCTCATCAACAGCAAAACCATTTCCCAAACTAGCTGAATGCCCTTCCTCCGACCAATGTAGCCATGGGGCTCTAGAAGAAAATGGAATAAACATCCCAGGAGAAGCTGATGCCTGAGTGAAGGAAGCATCATGCAATGACACCCTAAAAAAGCTGGGGGGGGGGGACAAGCTTGACAAAGAAAGCTTTCTTGGGTAGGCACACAGCCTCAGGCAGACTAGGGTCTACATCATATTCTAAAGGCTGAAGGAGACTGAATGTGTAGACCTGAAAGTCCCACAGGCCACCTGCCATGTCCTGGCACAGGATAAGCACACATACATCCAAAGAAGTCTGTATCCTTCCTCTCTCCCTGACAGTGGTACAGGAAGATGAGGCTGATGCTCACACCCAACTGTCACAAGCATGAGAAGTCTTCATTTGCCAATAGCCACAAACTGTGACATCCATCACAGATGTGCAGAGGGGCTCTATGCCAGGAAGGTGGGAAAACAGGATGAGGAGACCTGCTGGGACCTCAACACTGCACTTTATGAGCTTCTCTTCCATAAAAACAACTTTACCTGTCATTAAGGGCACCTGCTCCTCAAGTTTTGACCACTTCAGTCCACCCACAGAAAGACAGTGCAAGCTTCATTTCCTTTTGACTGGTTTGCCCAGTTGCTCCCCATGCTGGGCTGCTATACTGAAGCAGACATCCTAATCTCAGAGGTGTGCAGAGCTAACCTGGAGACCAGAGACTCCACCTTTTGCTAAGTTTGAATCACAACCTTGAAGTGGACTTCCAGATTTCACATCTTTGCTCCTAGTAGGAAACTGTGATTGATTCATGGCTGATCCTTAAGAACAAAAGGCAGCTTGGGGCTGCCACAGCTACCTGCTACCCAAGGCACACCAGGAAGGGGGAAACTACAGATGTAATTCGGAGGCAGAACACTTACCAGCTCAACTGAGAAAATGCCTC